TTGCGATCACTAGTACCATAGCGTTTTGCGGGACGAGAATCAAGGCGGCAGGAGGAGGTGAGTGATCGGGATATCATTAAGGATTGCCGCTGGTGTGCTCAGGAAGGGGAGGAAAATGGGACTGACCCTAGGAGGAGAGGATGAACTTAGGGGAATACGGAAAGTACTTACACACCTCCTCCCCTATTCCCTTTGAGGACTAGTTGTAGAGAGGGACTAGAGACTCGCCGCATATCGATGGCCCCTCTGAGTACACCAGCGCCCAAGCTTGTGATAAGAAATGTTAGATATGTTAGTGTAGCTTTTTTTCAGAAATGGTACGTCATTTGGTAATATGGCAGCCATTTTGAAATACGGAAAAGTGAAGAGCTGTGGGTAGAGATGATATGGAAAACCTGCCAAAGTTTCGGTTTTGCATGGTGCCATCCAATAGGAACTCGATTGTTTACAGAAATAGTGACCAACTTTTGTGCGATTTCTGACCACATCTGATTGTTTTTTCTTCTGAGGGTTCTTGCATCAACCATTAGGAGGTATGAAGTCGGAGCAGTAATAAGGGGCTCCGTTACCGTATCCGTGTGGTCCAGGCTCAAGCCCGGTCTGAATCAACGCTCGGGTCAACCGATCTCCATACATGTAGACTATTGGCAGCACATTCGGCGCTCCTGTCTTTTTTTTGGGAGGGGGCATTCAAGTGAGTGGGCCACTCGCTGTGCCTAGGACTAAGCTTTGATGGGAAGGGATTTTGAATGAGCATGTGGGAATTTCATTCTCCCAGGCGCTCCTCCCCTCTCTTAGGCTAAGTCTTAATGTCACCTGCCAGCGATTTCTGAATGCCTCGTTGCATGTCTTCCCCCCCCCCCCTTCTAGGGAAATGAGCATCGCAGATTTGTTTGAGACGACAAAATCAGTGACCAGTGCACCGGCTGTGCCTCCATTCGATACTCACCACATAGTATATTGATAGTAACGTATGTAGGGGTGGCCAAAAGAGAGCACCTCAATTAAAAATTTCCAGCCCCACATTCCATCTATAAGAAAACTTCATAATAGCCTTCTACCCGAGACATCACAGGAATTTGTTACGGTAACATGTGGCACCGCTCCAGCTCAACGTGGTCCTCGAAGGATCGTGGACCATTACGACGTCATGTGAAAAGCTGGTCGGAAGGAGTCTCGCATAGACAGAGCCACAATCTCTGGGAACCATAACGTTAAGTTAAACGGTCGAAGAAATCATGCAGCTGCATCAAGATGGAGCAAGAGAAGACCTCTTCGAGCTCAACAGCAATGAAAGATGGTGTCATATTCTAAAGACGATGAGGACAGTGAACAGACGCATGCGTCAACGTATGGAGAGGAATTTCAGGAATTTTATGCTGAAATATCCACCAACCAAGACAGTCTATGCAAGTTAAAGCTTGCTGATATGTGTTGTGAGCAAAGTGTCCTTTTTTCCACCCCTCTATATACGTATTTCTCCGAGGACGGTTGTAGGCACTGGTGGTTGTTGGGAGTAGGAGAGGGGACATCGCTATGCGTAAAGCCCATGCAGCCAACACCCGCCCTCCCCCTTGTCCCCACCCTCTCAGATAAAGCCTTGGGGAGGGGATCAGCAGAGGGGTGTATAAGAAATTTTCATTTTCTCCGAATTTTCTCCCCCTGCTCTCAACCTGCACAACGATTACCCCTGACGATACCGGTGTCTGGTTGTATTCAATAAGTCGAACTCGGTATAGAGTTCTCGGTATCTGCTACAATGATCGCTTTCCAGTTCCCTAACAGTTTCACAAGCACCAGCTGGTAGCTGGTGCCCTTCCTCTTGAATTTAGGATTATCACGACGACTCGGAGTCGATGTCAAGTGTGGTTCTCAATGAGATCCATGGCTCCAAGTTTATAATGGAGAGTAGAGTTTTCAGAGACCGTTGCTGAATCAGTCTAGGTCAGAAAGCGACAGCACATCAGAGGATTCGGAGGGAGAGCGTTCGCCTGGAGGAGGAGAGAAGAAAAAACAGAGTGAGTGGCTCACTTTCGATTCATCACGAAGATGAACCTAACCCAATCTCGTTTTCAGAATATCGTCCACGCGACGACAATGAAACCATCAACGAAATTCAGAGCAACTGGGGTGCTGTTCAAGCGAAAACGCCACCGAAAAAAGGTGGAAAACGAGGACCAGGACAACAAGCCGGTGCAGCCGCTAATATACCAGGCTGGCCACCCCCTGCTGGTGGAAGGCCACCACAACCGGGCTGGCCTCCAGGTGGTGGCCAACCAGGTTGGGGCGGTGGTCCGGCTTTTCCTCCAGGCGGTGGTCAACCAGGTTGGCCTCCAGCTGGTGGTCAACCAGGTTGGGGCGGTGGTCAGCCAGGTTGGCCTGCAGCCCCTCCACCACCACCACCTCCTCCACCTCCACCACCTCCACCGCCACCTCCACCTCCACCACCGCCTCCGCCGCCACCACCTCCAGCACAAAGTCATGGCAGGAACCCAGAAGGGTTAGATCCCTATTTCTGCGTGCCTTGACGATTTTAGCGCCCATTTGATACATTGTATTAATGAAAACACATATAATTATGGACACTGTACATTTGGATGCGGCAATAAATGAGCCAGGTTACATCGCTTGTTGTACAGTTAACGACACATGTGCGGAAAACGAACTGGAGGCTATCACAAGATACAGGGCATTGTGGTGGCAATGCACTTGAAATGCGTGAAATACGCTGCTCTCACTGAGCTTTACGTGGGATAGGAGAGAGATAGAATAGGTGAGATAGGAGCCATTTCCATTCTCACCGGAACTTCTTCTCCCTCCAGTGCTTAGTCCTGAAGGATGCCCCGTATATTGCGATAGCGCCACGAACTGAATTGTACTTCGATGGACTTATTTACGCTATAGCAAATTCAGTGTTGATGTCTAGTTATGAGGATATGAGTGTACAGTGAGTTACGACTTACCGACGCATTTCTAAATCTTAGAGAAAGTCTTCTTCTCCCTAACGTTAATCCCGTGCAGTGGCAGGGCTCGCTGCCGCTGTCGGTCGTCGCCACTTTGCTGTGTCCAGGGCCTTGTGTGGTGGTA